GCAATATTACAAGCTATTAGAGGAAAAATTAGAGGTAGAGCAGATGCAGCTCTAATATCGTACAACCTGTTCGACGAAGAATGGGCCGCAATCAAGCAGTGTTTGTCCCTGCATTATGCCGACAAACGGGACATACGCACATTGGAGCACCAAATGAGCACACTGACGCAGGGAAGATCAACCATAGATGAATTCTACGCCAGAGTCAACCATCAATTCTCCCTCATAATCAATAAGATCAAGACCGAGAATTATACAAAAGAAACTATAGACGTATTGATAGAATCACAAAGAAACAGAGCACTGGACGTATTTATCCGAGGGCTCAATGGGGAATTGTCCAGGTACTTGATGCTTCAGAAACCGTCAACTCTGCCAGAAGCATATTCAACGTGTCTAGAGCTCCAGAACTATAGTTGCCGAAACTTCGCTATACACAACAGGAATGATAACAACAGAATCACTGTACCATTCAACAAAATGTCCATGAAACGACAACAACCAAGTGCTGGGAACCCAAGGTCGTATCAACCAGAACAGCCATTAACAGTGGAACAACGGAACTTGGCTTACAACATTCAACATCAGAGAGAATCGCAACCTCCACCTAGACCGCCAAAACCGTTAGAGAAGATGGACGTTGACCGATCCATACAAACACGTCAGGTTAATTATATGAACCGGCCAGACAACTACAGGGGAATATACAAGAGGCCACCATCAGTAGGCAACATGCCTAGCAATAAGCACCAAAGGCTATTCAATATGGAAACACTTGAAGACGACGTAGATGACCACCCAGAAGAATGCAGCGAATATGACGAAGAACCAGCATATGCAGATGATGAGGTTCAAGAAGTAAATTTTATGACGGACGCCTTTCAAGCGTTCCTTACTTAGAATTCAAGACAAAAAACAACCAGCTCCTAAAATTTCTAGTCGACACAGGAGCTAATAAAAATTTTGTAAGAGAAGAGATCGCGACAAATGCCAAACCAACAACAAAACCATTCAAGATACGTTCAGCTGGAGGAGATATAACAATCACCAAGAAGATCGGAGGAAGATTTTTTCAGAGTCTGGGAAACAACACCTTCATTGAATTTTTCGTTTTGCCAGGATTGAAGACCTTTGATGGTATAATTGGAGACGACACGCTTAAGAAGCTCGAAGCCATTATAGACAGAAAGAACAACACCTTAAGGATCAAGCCAGATATAAAAATTCCGTTAAAGGCAAAGGCATCAGCTCAAGTCAACACCATCGAAATCAAGGCAGACCATTTACCGAAGGCAATCCAAGAAAAAATTATGGGAATAATAAGGAAATACGAGAAAATATTTGGCCCAATAAACGACAGGGAAATAATAGACACACAAGTGAAAGCAGAAATTAAAACTACTACTGATGATCCCATATACACCAAGTCATATCCATACCCAGCCAATATGAGGAAGGAAGTAGAGGAACAAATCAAAAAGCTGCTAGAGGATGGAATTATCCGCCCTTCGAAAAGCCCTTACAACTCACCGATCTGGGTAGTAGCCAAGAAACCCGACTCATCAGGTGTGAAGAAGTATAGAATGGTTATCGACTTTAAACGACTTAACGCAGTAACGGTACCAGACACATACCCTATACCGGATATTACAAGCACACTAGCAAGCCTAGGCCAGGCCAAATTCTTTACAACATTAGATCTGACATCCGGATTCCACCAAATCATGATGCACAAAAAGGACATTCCCAAGACGGCTTTTTCAACAATGAATGGAAAGTACGAATTCCTAAGACTACCATTCGGGCTGAGGAATGCGCCTTCAATATTCCAACGCATGATAGATGATGTTCTAAAGGATCAGATAGGCAAAAGCTGCTACGTATACATCGACGACGTTATCATATATGGAAAAACGGAGGAGGAACATTTAAGGAACATTGAAACGATTTTTAGCATATTGGAAAAAGCTAACCTGAAGGTCAACCTGGAAAAAACAAAATTCTTCAACACCGAGACAGAATTTCTTGGATATATAGTCACAAGCGAAGGAATCAAACCCGATCCCAGAAAAGTGGCGGCCATTCAGAACATCATGCCACCGACAAATTTGAAGGACCTAAAATCATTCTTGGGACTCACATCATATTATCGCAGATTTATTCAAGATTTTGCAAAAGTGGCGAAACCACTAACGAGCTTAACAAGAGGCGAAAACGCACAAATAAAGGCCAATCAATCTAAGAAAGTTGGAATCAAATTGAATGCAGAAGAGTTAAAGGCATTTAACAGGCTGAAAGAATTACTTATATCTTCAGAAGTCCTAATATTTCCAAATTTCGAGAAGCCGTTCATCCTAACAACCGATGCTTCCGACACAGCTATTGGAGCGGTGTTATCACAAGGTGAGATTGGAAAAGATAAGCCAATTACGTACATTTCCAGATCGCTCAATACCACGGAAGAAAACTACGCCACAAATGAAAAGGAAATGTTGGCGATAGTATGGGCATTAGACAACTTGCGAAATTATTTGTATGGGGCTAACAAAATCAAGATACTTACAGATCACCAACCACTCACTTTCACCTTGAGTAATAGGAATCATAATGCAAAGCTCAAAAGATGGAAATCAAAAATTGAGGAATATAACTACGAGCTGATATATAAGCCTGGGAGAACAAATGTTGTCGCGGATGCACTATCCAGGCTGCCAACCGAAGTAAACAGCTTATCAACAAGCTCGACCGAAACGGCAAGCAGTTCAGATGAGGACAGCGTAACGGAAACAGCACATAGTGGCGAGGAGGACAGTTCTGATCTCATACCCCACTGCGAGACGCCGATAAATGTCTTCCAGAATCAAATCATTATAAGACAAGGAAAATACATAGAAGCACACGAAGAACCACATCCAAGGTACCACAGGCATTACATCGATCTACCAGAAATAAATGAAGGAACCCTCACGAAAATACTGAAAGAAAGATTAAATCCTAACCTCGTGAATGGAATAAAGATCCCAGAATGCTACATCCGCATACTGCAGAAGGTCTTTAAGGATCACTTTAACAGATTCAAAATCCGTATAACGCAAAGCATAGTGGAAGACGTAGCTCTAGAGGAAAGGAAATTCAGCATAATCGAGAGCGAACATAAGCGAGCACACCGAAATTCAGAGGAAAACAGAAAGCAAATACTAGCAAAATATTACTTCCCACATATAAGCAGTTTAATAAAACAATATACTAAAACTTGTGATATCTGCAGCAGCAACAAATACGATAGGCGACCACATAAACCGCAGTTGCAAGAAACTCCAGTACCTAAATATCCAACACAGATATTGCACATGGACTTGATGGAGATACAGGGAGAGAAGTATATATCATGCGTCGACAAGTTCTCTAAATTTGCGAAATTCTTCAGAATCAAGGATCGATCAGCTATTCATCTAAGGGACAAAATAACGAAGGTATTACACTATTTTACCGTCCCGAAAATGATTATATTCGACAATGAGCGCAGCTTCGTGAGCCCTATAACACTGAACTACATCAGGGCTTTGGGAATAGAAATCTACACCACACCATCACAAAAAAGCGAGGTAAACGGGACAATCGAAAGGGTGCATTCAACTATTATCGAAATAGTAAGATGTCTTCAGAAAGAATACCCGCAACTTTGCCAAAAAGAAATCATCAACTTAGCAGTAGATCGCTACAACAATTCAATACACTCTGTAACAAAAATGAAGCCCAGCGACGTTTTTTTCGGCAGACCAAGTGGAACATCCTATCAGAATCTCATCGAAGCAAGAATAAAGATTAATAATGAACTCACAGAACGCATCGAGAAAAATCAGAAAACGAAATTAAAGAGAGAAAACAACAAAAGAGACGAACCTAAAAACTATCCAATAGGTGAAACAATTTACGTTCGAGACAAGCAAATCAAGGCAAAGCACAAACCGATATACAAGAAAGAGATTGTGGCAAAAAACAATAAAGCTACCATTATTACCGCTTCCGGAAAAAGAATAAATAAATCACACATCAAGAACATATAACATTAGAATATTATGTTAATAATCAAAACCTTAGGTTTCTTTTTAGACTAGCAGTCACTAGAATTACAGCATTTCCGAAAATCTTCGAATTCAAAGGCGCAATAGCAACCATTAAACAAGGACAAGGTCAAATCTTGGAAGGAAATTTCAATTTGGTGCACATCATTGATTTAAAGAGCTATGACGAGGTTATACAACAAATCATTCCTTTGGTTGATGGAATCAACTCGACCAGCATAATGAAACCACAGTTAGAACACCAACTGGCTCAAATAATGGAATTTCTGACTAAATTGAGAAGCAGCAAATCAAGAGTTCAACGGTCAATAAATTGGATTGGTACAGCATGGAAATGGCTGGCAGGAACACCAGACGCCACAGACTGGGACAACATCGTTACAAGCCAAGACAAGCTGATACAAAATAATAATCAACAGTACAAAATAAATCGTGAAGTTATGAGGATAACAAACCAAGTAGTAGAAAGATTTAACCACATTTTGGAACATGTAGGGAACTTAGATCATCGATCCGAACAAATAATATTTAACAAACTTGGAATCATAAAAGAAGCCTTGGGAGAAATCGTGTTAGCGACAGAATTAGCAAAAAATGGAATTGTCAACACAAATCTTCTTAGCAGGATTGAAATCCAAAAAATACTGAAGGAGATCGATACACTACCCTACGTCAACGAAATTGAGGCAATAGAATACGCAAAACCACAGGTAGTAACCAATGGACGAGAAATTCTCTACATATTATCAATACCGAAGACAGGCAACCAGTACTATGACCACATTATAGCGAGATCAACAATCCGAAACTCCCAACAAGTCTACCTCGAATATCAGGAACTTCTCGTGAAAGATGACGTATATGGCATATCGACAAAATGCGAGAATTTAAGAAACATCACCATATGCGAAAGAA